TCTCTCTCTCTCTCTCTCTCTCTCTCACGCTCGTTCGCCAATTTTTTTTTCTTTTTTCTTTTTTCTTTTATTCCTTTAGTCAATTAACGAACGATTTTACGTACTCGTACATTGTTATTATCGACTGGCAAACGTCCATATTATTGCAATTATTATTTCCTTGTGTAAAAACATAAGTATTTTAAAGGAAAAGACAAAAAAAAAAAAAAAAAAAAAAAAAAAAAAAATTAAATAATAAAAAAACAACAACAACAACAACAACAACGAAGAATTCGACTCGTTCATCTTCTTCTTATTCGGCTATACGTAAAATCTTTACGAGAACGATATTCCCTAATTGGCAATTCTAGTTTTCCCTTGCAAAATTATAGTCGACGGGCATCGATTATTCGCATTGGACCATTTTGTACAGTTTCTACGTTAGGATTAATTCAGAGTTAATTTAACCTTTCCCATTAGAAAAAAGTAGCCTACATGACCGTAATTTCCCTTTGAATGTGCATCTTCGGTTTAAAAAACAAATGAGGCGCACATCCATACCGAGACTTTGCACATTCGTCACAAAGTGCCACGATACGATTACCATTTCTCTCTCTCTCTCTCTCTCTCTTCCGTTTCGCAGAAAAGGGTTGGTACTTTATCGTAAGCATGAGAAAAAGCAGGCCTTTTAAGGTATTTGCGTCTCTTCCTCGTCAATGTTTTTGTATATGAAAAATATTGCAATGTGTATTAAACGCGACGAAGAGCCGGAATCACAATTTACTTTATTCTTGCAATCGCCTGGACAACATCCAGTACAAATTCACGTGCTGAAAAAAAAAGAAAAAAAAAAACCAACAACAACATAACATAACACGTTCCCATTGCCTAAAACACGTCAATCATTAGCAGCAAAACTTCAATTGTCCCTAAGCATGCTTACAGCGGCCAAAGGTCCAATTCTTTGAATAACAACAACAAACACACGTGAAACATTCATCGACAATTTTTTTTGCCTTTTTTTTTTGTTTTTGTTTTTAAATTCATAAATTAACACTTGCTTTGGAAAAAATACAAAAAAAAAAAAAAAAAAAAAAAAAATACAAAAAAAAGAAAGAAAAGAAAAGAAAGGAAGTTACTATATAGATTCAAAAATCTCGAGTCCTCTATACTATTAAAGTAAAGAGCTCGTTCGAATCTTACGCTACGTACTATATTTCCATAATATTCCTTCCACAAAAAGGATTGATTGCAATTGCAACAAAGCAATGTTTTCATTACCTTGAAAATCCAAGTTCTCCATACATAAAGAATATTACATTAATTCATTAGGTGGGCAGTTTTAAATTACTAGTTAATATCATGAGTCATGAGAGCGCAGGGAGTCTCGAATTTTCGTACCGATAGCAGTCTAGCGAGCCCTTACAGGCCTTAATTACATTTAAAATCATGAAGTTTCTCATCACAGAGGCTGCGATGCAACATATTAAATAAATCAGTTACAAGATTACACGAGAACATATAAATAATGAAAATTCAATTTCAACAAAAAAAAAAAAAAAAAAAACTTTTTTTATCATTAGCGTACATATTAATGACAATGATTACCCAAATTCGTTATGCTATAAAAATAACAATTTAAAAGACTTAATTGCTTCGTACTTCTACAATACAAAAAGTAGTAAATCTTTGTTTTTTTACAACACTGTTTTTCCCTTTTCTTTCTTCTTCTTTTAAATATAATTACATTTAAAAGTTAAGCAATGCTTTCATTCGACTGACAAACTTTTGCGATAACAGTATGCAAATAATCTTAAAAATTTAACTGCATGATTACGGTAAAAAATTAAGGAGACTATTGATGTGTGTACTCTGTTCTTTTTTTAGGTTATAATTTTTAAACTCACAAAATTATCTTCCAATTAAAATTGTCAAGTTTTATGATTACTTTGTAAAATGTAATTTCCGTTTATTATTATTATTGTTATTATCATCGTCGTCGTAGTCGTAGTCGTAGTCGTAGTCGTAGTCATAGTCATAGTCATAGTCGTAGTCGTAGTCGTAGTCGTCGTCGTCGTCGTCATCATCATCATTATCATCATCATTGTTATGAAGTAAAAATCAAATATTAAAATTTTTCTGTAAAGTCATATTAGGTTGACTTTTAGCAGAATTGTAATTTTAAAAATTTGTATTCAGCGAAACAATTTTATTATGTATATCTGTATCGATATTTCTACGTAGGTATATCCCTAACTCACATCTTCTCAAATACATGATTATAATACCTACAATTTCATTAAAGAATTACATTAATCCAATAAAAATTAGCCCTAGATTGATAATTTGGATGAAAAACTTTGCGTCGACTTTAATTTTCAAAAATATAATTTTTGTACAAAATGTGAGTATATTTTTTGTATAAAAAAAAAAAAAATATATATATATATATATATATATATATATATATATATATATATATATATATATTGTACGAGATTTAAAATGCGAAAACAATTTACGTTAAAGCAATTTAACGGCACTTTGATATCGTTCTGAGGAATCAATTTCCGAAATCCTAAAGAAGCATCGCATAATGGAATACTTATTTGATCAATGAAATTCATAAATATAAAAGCCATCCTATCCTCTCCTTAATTCTCCGTATTTACAGGCTCGCGAGCATGATGAATCCTAACGTGCTTATTATGATTGGACTTTGTGCTGCTGGACTTGCCACATATATGGCAAGTGTAAGGTCTTGCTCCCGAGTGCACTCGTAGATGCTCCTTCAGATAATACGACCTGTGGAACGTCTTATTGCACACGTCGCACGTGTACGCCTTATTCTCTTCGTGTTCCTTAACGTGCCGGAGGCAGTTGTACTTTCTAATGAATTGAGCACCACAGTAATTACAGGTATAAGGCCTGACGTTCCTATGGGAATTCATATGCGCTGTGTAGTCGCTGTGTCTGTAGAAGGCCGCGCTGCATTGGTTGCACTTGAAGGGCTTCGTACTGCGTGCGGCGTGAGTCCACTTGTGCAGTTGCAAGTTCCACTTAGTACTGAAGGCTTTAGAACACACTTGACACTCGTAGGGCCTTTCCCCGTTGTGCACGCGCATGTGCACTGCGAGGGAGGACCTGAGGTAAATGCACTTGCAAATTGGGCACTCCACGTTCTCGCTGTCCCTCTGGGCGTCGGGGACGAATCTCCTATTATGGGCGCGACGCATGTGCCGCGTCAAGCTCGCCAAGGTGCAGGCCTTCGGCTTCTCGTCGTGCGTTTCTTTGTGCCAGGCGAGCTTCTTCTTCGTGTGAAAGACCTCGCCGCAGTGGCATATATAGTCCTTTAGTTTCTTCTTAATGTTCAAGTGATGGCGATTCTTGTGCTGCGTGAGATTCGAGTAGCGCCTGAATGTCTCGTTGCACAGGTTACACTTTACGGGGGCGTTGCCCGTGTGGCCGTTATTGTGCTCGTCGAGCTTCTGCTTGGTGAGGAAGGCCTTGTCGCAAACGGTGCAGGGAAATGGCTTGATGCCCAAGTGCCGCTTCATGTGAAGTTTGAAATTCTGCTTGCGGTAAAAGTATTTGCCGCACTGGCCACACTCCAGCGGATGGATTTTCAAATGCAGGTTGAAGGTCGCTACCGAGCTAAATTCCTCGCTGCAAATTTGGCACTTGGCATTCTCGCGAACCCGTTTCACCGGCTCGATCGCGTGCATGCGTCTATGATGGATCTGCAAGGATTTTTCGCTGCCGAAGCGTTGGCTACAGAGACCGCAGATGACCTCGTTCGTCGTCGACAGATGGAGGGGATCGAGTTTGGCGTCGATCTCGACTTTGGTGGAGCTCGAGTGCTGGGCCGGCTGGAGCTGGTGGAGCAACGGCTGCTGATGCATTTGGTAGGCGTGCAGTGCGCCGGGTACGAACATATCCTCGAAGGCACCTGCGCGGGCGTCTAGCATCTTAATGTCCTTAAGTTCTTGCTGATCGCCGTTGTCCAAACCGCAACCGGAAGGTCCAGCCTCCTTGTGCACCATTGTACTGTGTACGCGTCGCTCCTTCGGGCACTCGAACACTTCCGCACAATGCGAGCATTTGAAAATGCGTCTGCCAGGTGGCGTCTTGCGATCGCGATCGAGGAAGAGGCTCGAGGTGAAATGAGTCGCTAGTGAGCGGCTGTCGAGAAGAGGGCCTACGTTGTTGTCCTCGTGCTCCGATACCTCGGATTCTTCCCAACTCTCGCGCGCCATCAGATCGTAAGACGTCGACATGCGCGATAAATCCTGGGCCATGTACGACTGCAAACAATAAATTATAATTAGTAGATACAACAGTGCTTCGTGTCGAGGATGTTCTGTTCGGTTCAGCTCGTCGTAATAATCAATACAACTTGTCATTAATAGTACGTACTTCAACTTTTAACTAATTATATAAAAAGGAAGAAAAAAAAAAAAGTAATATTATTTCAAATTTTTCACATCATAATTAACTATATAAATATATTGGGTGCCATCAAAAATTTATTATAAAATTATAAAGTCAATCATTATGAAATTATTTTCTATTTCTATTATCTATCCCCATAATAATACAGGACGTCAAAGAATAATGAAATTTGGCAACCTGAGAGGAGAGATGAAAGAAAATTATACTCTTCATATGGATAATTGGGATGACTATTAAACATTAATGATAATTTAATACCTGCCACGTCGACTGTTCCGTACAGCCGTTACTCTCTTGTTCCGAAAGTTCGCCCCTCGGGGGCATCGTCTCATCCGCTCGCATATTCACGCTTTTAACCTCCTCGTCATTTCCGGCTCCGTTTTCGCTACTCGACATCGATTGCTGACTCGTCCCGCTAACGGCCTTCTGCGACGATTCGCTAATAAATGTGCTTGGTACAAGAATTTGCAGTCCATCGTATTCAAGCACATTCATTGGTCCCGCATGCGCATCCTCGTTGATATTTAGCAGCTCCGTCGTTGGCTTCTGTATTAAAGACTTATTCGAGCTGGAGTAGCTCTTCGAGTCTGTACTAGTCGTTGGATCAGCGCATTCGGACATGTTTAAAAGATTCTGCGACACTGCATTACCGGATAATGGATAACCATCGTGATGCGTGGAAATGGTCGACTGTGGCTGCTGCTGCTGCTGTTGCTGTTGCTGTTGCTGCTGATGCTGCTGCTGATGATGATGATGATGATGCTGCTGCTGCTGCAGCTGTTGTTGTTGTTGTTGTTGCTGCTGCTGCTGCTGTTGCTGCTGCTGTTGAATCGACAAATGATGTTCCAGCGGGAAGTTCCCGATCGAGTACAACTCGGATATTAAATTCTGGGATTTATAATCTCCAGACTTTTCCTGCAGTTGTATAATCTCAGTGGCTATCGTAGCCTTATTGTCTTGATGAACGAGCTTCTTTTGCTCGCGTTCCCCCTCTTGATTCAACAGGAGGCGTCCATCTTCCTCCAACTCCTCATCCTCGTTCTTTCCATTAGCATGATAACTAACGCAACTTTCACCATCCGTATCTTCCTCCTCCTCCTCCTCCTCCTCTTCCTCTTCCTCCTCCTCCTCGTCATCCTCCTCTTCGTCATCCTCCTCTTCGTCCTCATCCTCCTCCTCCTCCTCCTCCATACGACAGTATGGCGAGGAGCTATGTACGGACAAAGGAGAGGTCGGTCTTTTGCTTCGGCGAGCTTTCAATATCGAAAGACTACTACTACTCATATTTGCCTCCTCCTCCTCCTCCTCCTCCTCCTCCTCCTCTTCCTCCTCCATACGACAGTATGGCGAGGAGCTATGTACGGACAAAGGAGAGGTCGGTCTTTTGCTTCGGCGAGCTTTCAATATCGAAAGACTACTACTACTCATATTTGCTGACAAAGAGGTGTGCGATCTCGTACGTTCCAAGATTATACCGTTGTTCTGCTTCATGTACGAGTGATGTTGCAGCTCCTCGAGCTCCATGTCCTCGTCATTATAATTGTCTTTGAGATAGTCTTGTAATTTGGTGGCTTCGAAGTCAACCGTACAAACATTCTCGTTCGAGCGGTAAAAGTCGGATCGCAGAGATGCTCGTGACAGAGACCGATGTAACTTCTTTTTAACAATTGGAAAACAGGGAGTTGATTGGGAATACTTGTACTGATAGGATGAAGTGATGATTTTTTGAATCTCTAAATCGCATTGCATCGAATCCTCCGAGGAGATTGATGACACGTCCGTGTCCTCGTGAGCCACTATGATTTTGCACTCAATCGATTCGGTGCTGCTTTTATGATATGATACACTCGTGTTCTCGTCCTCGGCGCGATGCTTTTCTTGAGCTTCATTGGGTAAAGCGACGTCGATATTTTCCCGAAATCTTTCGCTACTCTTCTCATTGCCTTTTTTCGCTGCTTTTTCGCCGCTAAATTCAGACTCCATGTTTATCAGTAATCGACTCAGCTGCTCCACCTCCGGCTCGTGAACATTCGAGACTCGAGTTTCGTTGGCTGATAAATCATGAGGCTCTGTACTTTCGATAACAACCTGCGAACGCGTTTCAGATTTCTGCTCAAACTTTTTGCAACTCTCCTCATCGTTTACGTCCGTCTTTTCTGCATCTTTTTTCGAATTTTCCTCGCCCATTGAATTTTCGATTTTTTCAACGGTTTCCGATTCTTGTACTTTAATTTCATTGTAATTTTCTACTTTCCCTGGTTCGCGCACTATTAGAGATTCAATTTCTATATCGTCTTCAATTTCTGGCAAAATCCTTTCAGTCTTGTCCTCATCAGTACTATTATCGCAAGGATTATTCATCAGCGTTGATGGATTTTCACTGCAATTTATATAATTGAAGTTTTTAAATAATTTTCAATATTAATAGAATGTTATCATTTATGTTAAATAAATCATACGTATATAAATGAAATATTATTAATTGAAAAATATAACGTAGGGATTTTTATGCAATTAATTATTTGACATTGAAACTAACAAAAATTTCATTTACATAAATGATTCATTACGTTTTAATGATCTTTCTAATACATTTAATTATTGCTAGATTTGTTTATATTTATCAAAAAATTGTATCGTTTATGCGCATGAAATTCGTAAAAATTGCATCTTTCGTAATAATAACAACAACAACAACAACAACAACAACAACAACAACAACAACAACAATAATAATAATAAACAGTTAAATTCTTAAAATTTCAAATAATAAAATTCCTTATTACAACAATATAATAACAGGAATAAAAATGTTCACATCGTAATTAAAAAAATACTAAAAAACTTTTTTAATCATTTCATCTCCCAATACAACGATTACAACATGATTCAAATAGATTTTCTCAAAATTATTTATAATCTCTCAAACAATATTCAAGCAGCAAATTATTATTCTTTCAATTGAAAAAAAATGTATCATACAATTTCTTTGATACTATAAAAAAATTTGATACTATATAAAAGGCAATGCATAAAAGGGCATTAATCTAATAATTTAAGGCCATCAAAGTGAAATATCTTGGAATCTTTATTTCAAGCAGTCTTGGTATATTAATAAAAAGACAACATATATATAGTATAATACGAAGAATATAGTTGTTTATAATAGATCTTGTATGTTGTTAGAATGTTTATTCGTTTAGATTTTAACAAAAAATCAAAAAAAAAAAATCAAGTTACTAATAATTCAATAAAAGCGTTAGCTTAAGTACCTCTGATATTGTTCAATAACTTGCTGCTGTTCTCCTTGCATACAATTATCCGGAATCCGTTGCTCTCGATGTTCTGCGTGCGCGGCGCTCTGTTCCTCCTCTTCGTCAGGATGAGACGTTTCGGGCATTAATGGCATTTCTAAATCCGGTAGTATACGATCCGAGGTCGGTATGACTTCTTGGATTATGGCCTGCTTTGGTGAATCAACGACGAGTTGTTGTTGTTGCTGCTGTTGCTGCTGCTGTTGTTGTTGTTGTTGTTGTTGTTGTTGCTGCTGCTGCTGCTGCGAGCAGGTTGGCCTCAGGGGCGGAGGAGGTGGAAGTGGCGCGGGTGGCGACGTTGGCGTCGTCACCTTCTCGTTGATCGCCGTCAGCGGGACGTTGTTGCTCGTGCTCGTCGCGGACCTCATTCGCGTCGTAATCGCAGGCACTGTCGTCGGTAGAGTCGCCGAGGAGGTGGGCATCATCGGTGGTGCGGAGATCATCTGAACTGTGGGAATCTGTTGCTGATGGTACATACCGTAAGGGCTGTACAGCATCTGCATCATCTGGCTCGTCTGGGGAGACTGCGCTTGGGCCATTGCGTATTGAGCTGGTATCATCATCGTACCTGCAAGATAAAAATAAATTTTTTACGATTCCGTTATTCAATAATATTGCTATTATTTACATTGTACGAGAGTCTATGTATTTTATTATTATTATTATTATTATTATTTTTTTTTTTATGTACTTTTGTGAATAGTTGGTAAATTAATATTTTTACATTAATAAAAATATATTGCATCGTTATAATTGTTTGTCGGATAATATGAAAGAATATGAAAGCTCTGACTGGGACAAATATTTTGCTTCGAATACGTAACTGTCATTTATAAATAAAATTGGTATTAAGAAAATATGTGCGTGCGTAAATGCAAATTTGCCTAAAAGATATCTAATATTATTAAAAAAAAATTAATAAATCAAGCCAAATAAGAACTGGCGATATTGACATAAGAATTAGAATACGTCTATTATTTTCCACGAATTATATAATTAATTTAATTTTTATATATGCCTAAAGAGATAATTATAGAAATTATAATTCAAATTTAAATTAAAATTTTAAGATACGTAGAAGGAGATTCGATGAGCAACATTGGCTTTTTGAATGAATTAATTCATTGAAGAAAAAAAACTTATTTTTAAAAGAATCATGGGTAAAAGTTGAATTTTCACATTACTGGTGTAAGCAGCAGAGGCACAAATAAGGGAACTCTTATCTCAAAGGATATAAATAATAAAATGTTGTAAGCATCACTTTGAGTCAGTATAATCGCTAATAATGATAATGCATTAGTAACATTTTAACATTCGGTTTAAGAAGCCAGAAATATCGAGGATCTGCTGAGCGACGACCTATAATCCGAATTTTTAAGTACTTATTTACATAGTTTAAAACGGACGAAAATTACGATGAATTTCATGAATAATAAAAGTACACGTACACATTGTATATTTTTCACTTTGCGAATAAAACGATTTAATAGTTTTTTTTTTTTATATAACAATCAAAATGTTAATTTCGAAAAGCCGCCATTTTGTTACGCATTATTATTTGACAAAAGCAGTAGAAGAAAAGAAAGGAATCGTATGAAATATTTTAAAGAATTTTATTGCGGATGGATCGCTTCATCAATGGGGCGAATTAATTGTCTTTGTGAAAAGAATTCAGAGAGCCCGAATGCACTGCCTACTTATGACTAAACACACTTTCCATTAAAAAGTAATTAAATTCACTAATGAGAATAACAAATTTGTTAAAAGCTTTGTAGGCTCGTATCTTTTATAATTAATTATTAGGCAAATCCCATGATTTAAATTGACAAAACGATCTGACAAATTGAAAATCAAGGAAGAAAAATAAATAAATAAATAAAGAGGACATAAGAAGTCGAGGCGATTGCGTTTCGAGCTATTCTTAGCCAATAGGCGTGCATCGTTCGATAAATCATTAGAGAAATGATAAATTTACCATTATTAATAAATTGCTGGTAGCTAAACGAAGCAAATTGGGGTGGAGGTATCATGGCGTTGATCGGTGGGCACTCGAATATGGGTCCGATCGGGTAGGGCGATTGGGCATGAGGAACATGTGTACCCGGGCCCGCAGTCGACTGCTGTTGCTGTTGCTGTTGCTGTTGCTGTTGGTGTTGGTGTTGGTGTTGGTGTTGGTGTTGGTGTTGGTGTTGTTGTTGTTGTTGTTGCTGCTGCTGCTGCTGCTGCTGCTGCACAGTCGTGGCTGAGCTCGGCGTCGTCGGTATCGGCAACGTCGTCGTAGATGCGGCCGTCGTGGTCTGTCCGAGTGTCGGTGCTTGGGGCTGTTGAGACTGCGGCACGCACGCCTGGCTTAGGATGGCCGAGGCGCCGCCACCGCTGCTGGCTCTTATGAGCGCCTCGATCACCTGCTCCTTGGGATGCGTGTCCAAGTGCTTTTGTAAGCTGATGCCCTCGCGCAGGTACAATGTGCACACGGGGCAGGCGACTGCTCCCCCGGTGCCACTCGTCGTCCCGGCCGACATCGCGCTTACGGCTGTACTGAGATCCATTGCGAGTACTTGCGTACACGCGCCCTTGTCCTTCCTGCTATACGGCTAGCTAGGAGTGGGTGCGTGCGCGCGTGTGTTTGCACCTCAATGTATGCGTTACGTCCAACCACTTATGAAGTACTTCTGTAAAAAAGAAAAGAAAGAGTTTTCTGTTAAATTCCACAAATTCCACAAGTTCCACAAGTCGTTTTAGTTTAACATCTCTTTAATCTATATCTACATGCTTAGCAATTGAATTGGAATGTTTGTTCCTTACTTTGCTTCTTTTGACATGAATGAGCACGCAATTCCATGCATCCAGTGTCTAATATTTGTAAAACTGAATTATGCAATGAAAGAGTTTCTAACTTTTTATCCAACCATACTCTGGCATTAAAAGTAAATGTAACGAACATCCGATTAATAATTTAGCTAGATTTAAGTCTTGCATGGATATTGATTAATCGACAGTTTGTGAGAAAAAGCTATAAATATTATGTCAAATAACATTGATTTTGTTTAATTGTATAATACAGATTTTCTTAGACTTTAGATATTAATGATGTAGAACATGTTTTTCAATAGCTGACTATACGCTGCATAAGTAATTTTTATTTAAAACTTTAGAACTTAATAGAAAAAGTTATTTAATGTTATTTTCATCATTTTATGACATCATTTTTCATGTATCGGTTAAAAATAAATCTCCACGCTATTAGAAGTTTGTTTTATAGCATTATCATAAATATAACCTATCTTTATAACTAACCACGAATAATATTTGAAATTGCATAATATAGCGAAATATGAAATATCTTTTGCTGTTGCAATTAGAGTATTCCTGTAGTAAATTGACATGTTATAGAAACTTGATAAACATTTGCGATTAAAATAAAATCATACGAGAAAATGTATGTCTAATTACAAGCGTTAAAACATTCTATTGGCTATTGTGTAAGGGTTTTACAAATAATATAATCAATGCAAATAAGCACAGTTGGGACAAGAAGCTTATACATATAAATTTAAATTATTTTTAAAGTATCCAAACTATAAATAAATAATCATTTGAATGTCAAATGCAAATTTTTTGATAGTCTTAATGAGTTATAACGAGTGAAGCATATACGTCAAGTATGAAAGCTAAACATTTCAAATTGAACTGCGTAGCTGATACAATGGGAATACGTTTTACCAGCTACATGTCTGAGTAAGACTACGGTCGTACAAAAAATTTGCCAGACAGCTATTGCCAATCGATAACAGAATAAAGCTGTCGATCAAGCACTACTCACCCTCAAAGCCCTAATATGCCCAAAGAACTCTTGAAACTTGATTAAACTAGAATAACCAAGACGAGATAAGCAAAGTGGATACAGGTTCCGCGAGATCCACGGCGAGTGGTGCTCCGAACCTTATCTCAGCTGACTCGCCTCTTGATGCTTAAAAAGCCACTAAAGAATCACCTAGGTATATGTAGGCATACGTATGCGGCTTTCTCAATAAAGCCAGCTGCAGATCATCGTCGTACGGGCAGCGCGCAAAACTCGTGCACGAGAGGAAGAAGATGCTGTTGTCCGAGAGTCATGGATGGGCAGACGGGCCTCGCCACCGTCGTCGGTGCACTTTCGACGATGATCGGCGGTGCTGCCGTCGCCGCTGCTGCTGCTACTCGCCCAAAAATATCGACGTCCATGACTGCGCTGCTACTACTCGTTCTCTCTCTTGTCTTGTTGGCCCCCTCGGCCTTTACGTACGTACGTTTGTATTATACGCGCGTGCGTGGATGCACTATGCATGTGTGTCTATATATATATATATATATATATATATATATATATATATATATATATATATATATATATATATATATATATATATATATATATATATATATATATATATATATATATATATATATATATATATATATATATATATATACATATGTATTTGTATACATATTCATATATATATATATACATATATATATTTATCTATTTATCTAATTCTGACTCCCTACCTACCAACCTACCTATCTACCTACCTACCTACCTATCTACCTACCTACCTACCTACCTATCAACCTACCAACCCAACCAACCTACCTACCCACCTACCTACCTACCTACCTACCTACCTACCTACCTACCTACCAACCTATCTATCTCTATCTAGATATGCGCGCACGAATGCATGTGTGTATTGCGCACGGATGTGCGCGCGCGCCTCTCACACTCTCTTTTTCTGTGTTTGTACGCGAGTGTTGTGTATGGTGCCGTGTTGTGTCCCGTCGTCTATAGTCGTATTAGTCTGGCTCAGCTTCTGCTGTCTGTTTGCCGTCTCGCACGATCGCTAGCTCTATCTATCTAACTATTTATCATTCCTCCACTCTCTTCGTTTTCTATCTCTTCTCACTCTCACTGTCACTCACTATTCTCCGTTCGCTCGCTCTCTTCTTACATACACACGCGCGCGCGCGTAAGTGCACACATTCACTATCTCTTTCTCTCTCACTAACTCTCTGTCTGTCTCTCTGTGTCTCTCTCTCTCTCTCTCTTTCTATCACTTGCTTTTATACGCACACACGCTGTCTTTCTATGCGGTTTAAATTTTCACGCTGATGGTACATGTGGACGGTAGACGCATGTGGAGTTGTGTCGTTCTGTTCCTTAAATCCGCCATTGGCCTCGTAGGTGCAGGCGCGCGCTCGCGCGCGGGTGCGTGTCTGTGTGCGCGCGCGCGTGTACACTTTTGGCCGTAGGACTACTGTTTTTCCAGTTTTGGGCCACGGCACTTGGCAGCGCCGTTTATTCCTCGAGAGCTCTCGTCCCCCCGAATCGATATATTCCGTGTGAAAATCGCTGCTGCCACTTTCTTCGCCCGTCTCGCTCTCTCAAGAGCGCAACGAGACACTACAGCGCTCGCTCGCGTGCTTCTCTCCTCTCCTTATCCCCCGTCTTTTTTCATCGGATCCGTCTCTATTCAATTTTGCGCTAGGCGCACGAATAAACTTCTCCACCTCGTCCTGTACGGCTCTTCGTAGCAGTCGACTGCAAGGGAGCGACTTTTAACGAAAGCGCGATCGCACGCCGCCACAGCCGTCGCTGCTGCCGCCGCTGCCGACGCCGCCGCCGCCGCCGCCGCCGCTGCTGCTACTTCCTCGCTCGTTTGTTTATACAGAGCATCGGCACGTTCGTCTGCTTAGCAATTTTTTAATTCCTCCCTCTCTCTCTTTCTCTCTATCTCTTAGTTACGTGCACGCAATTCGGGCCTCCTTGCTTCCCTCGAGGCAGCGCGCGCGCGAGATATAGAGAGAGCTAGAGGGGACTTTTTCAGTCGATTGCACAAGCCCACGGCGAGTTGTTGGAAGCGAGAGAGCGAGAGAAAAGGAGAAAAAAAGAAAGAAACGAGTCTCTTATTTTGCAATCGGGGCCCGGAAAAAAGGACCAGCGACACGCGATGGTAGTGCTGCTAGCTCTTCTGTGTTGTAATATAGACGATGCACGCACTGCCGCTTATACCAATACACGTGTACCCTTGTGTGCATGCGTGCGTGCGTGCGTGCGTGCGTTCATGTGTTCAGTCGTGCGTGCATGCGTGCGTGCGTGCGTGCGTGCGTGCGTGCGTGCGTACGTTCGTTGGTTGGTTCGTTCGTTCGTTCGTTCGTTCGTTCTTTCGTGCATGCGTTCGTGCATGAACGCGGGGGAGACGGAAATATTTACTGTGTCGCCGCTCCAGTCGCAATAATTTCTTCCTTTTTTCTTTCTTCCCTTCGTCGAGAAGGCATCGCCCTGGCCAGCCTCGGAAATACTCTCTTGATCTCTGTCTCCGGCTCTGGCACTGCCACCACCACCATCTCCACCACCTCCTCCACCATCACACCACCACTACACTACACTAGGCTCGCCGCCGACACTCTTGTTTTCCCCTGCTCCGTATGCATGCACATGCGTGCATACGTGTAGTTGTGTATTTATTTACGAGAGCTTGCGCGCTGCGCGCGCGTACGTATATTATCGTGCCTCGTATCGGAAGACTCCTTCTCTTTCTCGTACTCGCGCTTACGAGCTGCAGGCGCATTAACACATCGGAGAGAACGCATTCGCGGTAGCGCCTTGTTCGCGCATAAGGACGGGCATACGCACACGCGCACACACACCGATCGCGCGTTTAAAGCCAGAGCGCCAGAGAAAAGAAAAACAGACGAGGACTTCGGAGGGGTTGGGAGAGACGGTGTAGGTGTAGATACTTCCCCTCTCTATCTGTCTATCCCTATCACTATCACTCACTCTCACTCTCACTCTCACTCTAGCTCTCTCGCTCTTTACTTTCCTCGCGTTCACACCGATACTCCTGGGCACTGCTCGCGTTGGTAATCGGCGGCCCCGATATCCCGTGAGATTGCTAGACGCGCGCGCACCTTCGGCTGTTTGGGTGCGCTTGGATGCGACGGGCGGGCGCGTAGCCGCAGTCTCCGTCGTCGTCGTCGTCCTCGTCGTCCTCGCCGTCCTTGTTTTCTTCGTTCCCCTCGTCCGTCTTTCCGCCTCTCGACAGATCCAAGCTCGACTCCCAAGTTCTCGCTTACTCGGCAAACACTCGCCGAGATTCCCGAGACTGACGGAGGCAGGCGAGCCGAGCTCTCGACGCTTGAAACACAGACCGTGACGATGGGGAAGACCGCGCGCGCTCCTCACCACCACCACATACCGACGTATGTGCAGGGCAGTTACGGCGGCGGCCGACAGACAAGAGGTCTGCGGCCTCCAGCTAACCTGGCGCCCCCTTTAATTCTCGATGTCGAGCGCTGTCCCTTCTTCTCGCTCCCTCTCGGTCGCCCGCATCGGCAGCATCGCCCATAACCAAGTCCAGCTGCCCGAATGTCCTCCCCGTCCTCGTCCCGCGGCATGCTGTCTACCCCCTCCCCGACCACCAGTCCCAATCGCCCTAACCCCCTTCCGCCGCCACTCACCCAACCACCAGTGCCCTACCTCGTCCCGCCAAGCCATCAACCCCTCGCCGATCCATTCCTCCTACTCCATCGCCACCGTCATCACCACCTCC